TTCGTTGGGACTTGAAAGAAGCCAGACAAGTTAGGAGGCAGAGATGAGGAGGGAGAACATTCCAGGAAAGCAGGCAGGCAACAGTCAGAGAAAATGCATGTATATAAGGGGAACATGTTAACAGACATCTTGAAGCTTTCTTGTATGAAAGCAGGATTTTGGGAGGAGAGAGACTGTGAACCAGGCACCAAACTCATGGAGGAAAAGAGAGTGTCCCAAAATCAGTAGACAACAGCTACCAGAATCTTGTTTGGGTGATAAATATGGATTGTATGAATCTCCAAAACAAACAAACAAACAAACAAACAAACAAATAAATAAATAAAAGGAGCTGCAGCCACTCAGGGATGGTGGTCGAGGTGGAACCTGGGAGTGGCCATGAGGATTAAGGAAACTTCGGTCTCTGGGAAGGAATGAAAAATGCAGCCAGTCCTTAAATGGCGGCCAAGGAGACTGTGTCATCAGGAGAAAGCTAGATTTCAGCAAGTAAAAGAAGATGGAAGGAGGGGCAAAGGAAAAGGTTTAAGATAAAAGTTAGTTTGATACCTACGGAGCAGGCATTCCAGAGGGCACAGTGGGAGGGGTGTGTAGATCTGGAATGGCATGTGGTCCAGTGGTTCATGAGAATGGAAATAAGGGAAGATAGTGAGAGATTTGAATCAGCTGAGGGTTCAGAAATACTGGGATATGGAGGATATGAAGGGTTGGGAACTTGTTAATCATTGAGGAATGAGTTCAGGAGAGAAACAGACAGAGAGAGACAAAGTTTACACATGGAGAGGTAGATAGAAACAAAAAAGAGAGAGTGAGAGGGAGAGATGGCATGAAAAGAGAGCTGGATTTGGAAACAGTGGACCTGTGTTTAAATCCCACCTCTGAATTTTACTAGCTGTATGACCTTGTACAAGCCAATTAATATCTGAGTCTCATCCATAAAATGAGGGGGTTGCATTAGAAGGTTGCCTTTCAGCGCTATGGATCCCATGAATCTACTAGCTGTGCAAGCTGGAATAAATCACTTCACCTCTCTGAGCCTCATTTTGTCATCTATAAAATGAGGATGTCGCTACCTGCTATAGTAGCATCTACGACTTCTACCTTGGAGGACTGTGAGGAGCATGTAACTATTGCAGAGTCTTGGAGCCAGACGTGGGTCCATTGAATCCCTGCTCCCCCATTTACCAGTTATTTGACAGTGAACAAGAAACTTGTTTCTGTAATATATGGGTAAGATTTGTGATTTTCCACACCGGTCTTTCTCCAGTGACTCCTCAGTGTGGCAGTGACCCTGAGCTCTTGGAAAGCTTGTCCATTACGTAGGAGAGGCGCCCTTTGAGTCCTATCAAGTTGGAGATTGTTCAAGGACAGATCTGGCAACAATCTGAAAAGCTTATCACAGGAAAGCACACTGGGGTAGGGGGCGGGGTGGGCTGCTAGACTGAGTCCCAGATTGTTCTATTTCAGTAAAGTGAATATGATTTTTAGAGCATATTGTTACAGAGGTGGTTTGAGAAACTGATCAGAAAGGGTTTCATCAAGACCAAGTCTCATCTCCAGACTCTTTCAGGCAAACTAATTTCCTTTTCAACCCGGGTTTCTCGACCGGTGGGTACACCAGAGGAGTGGAGTATACACGGTATAGGTGCAGATGTCAGCAAAGCATTTAATACAATCTCCTAGAATTCTTTCTAGGTTCCTGTGACACTGCTCTTTCCTGGTTCTCCTGTTGCCTGTCTGGCCACTCCTCAGGCTGCTCTGATGGGTCTCTATCCAGGTCACACCCATAAACCCTGAGTGTACCCCAAGAGCTGCCTGCTCTTTTTGCTCAATCTAGCTTGATGATCTCCTCAGCTTGCACGGGTTCAATTATGTGGACAATTCTCCGATCTATTTATCCAGTTCTCACCTCTTCTCCTGAACTCCAAATGCCTTGGACACCTCGGATAGGCATCCCACGCTCAAAGTGTCTGAAACAGAATTCGTCCTTCCCTCCACAGCCTCCCCTCTTCCCAGTTTTTGTTAGGGTCACAGTCACCAAGCCCAATTATCTAGGCTCTCAACCTCGGTATCATCCTTGACGCCTCAACTCGCCTCACACGATAAACCTCTTGTCAAATCTTGGTTCTACCTTCACACGTCACAGACGGCGCTCTAGGACAGGCTCTTACACTTGCTCACACTTACCGCAATAGCCTTCTCTGGTCTTTCTGATCCATGGGCAGCTAGGTGGCGCCATAGTGCACAGAACACTGGGCTTGGAATTAGGAAGACTCATCTTCATGAGTTCAAATCTGGCCTCAGATCCTGGGCAAGTCACTTTACCCTGTTTGCCTCAATTCCTCATCTGTAAAATGGACTGGAGAAGGAAATGGCAAATCACTCCAGTATCTTTGCCAAGAATACCCCTAATGGAGTCATGGAGAGTGGGACACAACTGAAAACTCCCCATTCCAATTCACTCTTCAATCAGCTCTGTACCTACCTGTTGTCCTATCTCTCTAATTAGAATGATGGGCTGGTTGAAGGCAAGGACCCTGATTTTTGCCTTTCTCTGTATCCCTAGCACTTAGTACAATGTCTGGCAGATAAATGCATGATGACTGACTTGACAAGATGGTTGAATGATAATACAATTCAAGACTACTTGAATGACCTAAGGAATAGGATTATCAATCACCCTGAAAAGTATTTGTTGGTATAATCCCAAAGACCTGTGCTTTTTTAATCAGTGAAAGAAATCCATGACCTGATCAAAGTTGTGGATAACACAAAGCTAAGGCTAGCTAACCAGAGATGACCGAGTTGGGCTCCCAAAAGATCTAGGCAGGGTCAATCATCAGACTGAAACTAACAAGATGGAATAGGGAGTAAACATCAATAAGTTCTGTAGTTGGATTCCAAAAGTGAATTAGAGAGGCTGGGGAAGTGGTGCCTTAAAGTTCCGTGGAAAAGATCTGGTTGGTTGGTTATTATCCCATAGTTCCTGAAGAGGACCCAGATGACATCACTATAATCTAGGTCCAATGTAACTGACTGGCTGAACAGACCAGCGTGAGTTCAGAAGGTTCTACTGCAGATTGGGCACAAATAGTTCATATGAACATTTGGAGTGGAGATGTCTCTATATTTGTGCATCTCACATTTCTTTTGAGCTACTGAAAAAAAAATACTTGAAGACCATCCCTACCAAAGGTGCTGAGATGATCTCTAAAGCCCACTCTGGATTACAGTTAAAAACAAAAACCAAAACCCTAAAGGGTCATCAGGGTCCCTGCCTTCAACCATGTCCCTGAGAAAAGGCACTCAGTCCCACTTGGTTCAAGAAGTACATTTAATTCTGGGCACTGCATTTTCTTTTTTTCAGTAAGGCAACTGGGGTTAAGTGACTTGCCCAGAGTCACACAGTTAAATGACAGTTATGTGTGTGAGGCCGGATTTGAATTCAGGTCCTCCTGACTCCAGGGCCAGTGCTCTATCCACTGTGCCACCCAGCAGCCCCCATGGGCACTGCATTTTCTAAAAGACATTGATGAATAAGCTCACCTAGGACAGCAATCATATGAACAGGTTTGGACTCTATACCAGATAAACATTTTTATCCTGGAAAAGACTAGGCTGGGAGTAGTTGGGTGAGAAGAGAGCACAGTAGCTGCCTCCAATTATTTGGACTTTAATTAACTAGTTATGTGACCCTGGACAAGTCACCCTCCTTATACAGTCCCCTTCTAGCTCAAAATCTGCATCTCATTCAAACATTTAGAAACAGCCTAATTTTATTAGTCAGGAGAATGTAGTGCACGTAAAGCACATATTCATAACCATAGGAAGTCTTAGTGGGAGCTATTAATGCTACTGTTGTTAAAGACTTATTAAGCACCTACTGTGTACCCACATCCTGTGCTATAGGATTTTTGTAGGGCTGATTGCTTTGGAAAACCAGAAAGTGCTACAGAAAGACTTAATTCATCTCCATGTCTGGTCTTTACAATGAGTTGCGAGAGGCCACAGAAGAGGATCTTTAGACAGATAGGCGGCCATCTAACTTTGGTCTCAAATTTTTTCATATTAGCTTTGAATCCACTTTGGCATCCTCTCATCCAGCCTACAAAGACATCCCAAGAGAATCCCCAGTAACCTATAGTCTATCCAAAGCAACTATTAGAATCACTTGAGGAAAAAAACAAAAGGAATTGAATCCGGCTCCTGGAAACAACCCTGCCCCACAGGGAGGAAGTCCTAATGCTCTGGCACCTGGCAGGTGAGGAAAGTGTTGACAAGAAACTCCTTAATCACCGAGGTCAATCATGGCTACAACATCGACCACACTATTTGCATTAGGTTTCCTGGATGGCGAACATGGCTATGCTGCACATTTCTCTAAACCACAACCAATACTGATGTGTTGGAGGGGAAGAAAAGTATTAAAAATCAGGCAGTCTGTCTCACACAGTTTATTTAACAATAGGTAATAAGAAATCAATTTTAACAGCCTATACAGTGATCGAAAGTTCATATTTATAAGTAATCAACTTTAATTGCATGATTTACAACATTGGAGGGTTTTTTTTTTGCTTTCTATTTTCAAGTTTTACAGAAAGTGGAAGAGGGAGGGAAGGAGAGGGGAAAGAAAGCAAGCGTAAAGAAGTAACCCCAGGGACATCTCTGCATGTTAAAATCATCCCCTTGGAATTCTTACCCTCTTTTTTTATTTTTTCCTTTGTTAGATGTAAAAATAACGAAAAAAATTCTTTCAAGAAACAAAACCACAATATATATCCTACATCCACGTGGCAGCTGCCCCTGGATAGTCTGAAAACGTCCTTGCTGTTCTCTCTACACGTACAAATGATCTTAATACTTGAAGTTTTACACTCAACCTCTTGTATAGAAAATGTCTGGAGCACAAAAGTGGACTCCAAAGGGGACTGGACTATTTCATCTTTTTTCTTTTTAAACATTTTTAAAAGAATGAACATCTTTGCACCCAAAGAGGAAAAATTGGTATTTTTTTTAATATATATATATATATAAATATATATATATATAAAATATGTATTTTTTTTTTAAAGCAACATTAACCCCTTTTGTCCTCTGGTTTAAGAAATGTTCGTGAGTTAACTCTTCTGCCGTGGTGTCATGAGGAAAAAGAATAGGGAGAAATGTCAACCATCTGCACCAGTAAATAATAACTATCAATATTACATATTTTCATTAATTTAAAAAAAATAATAAACTGTATTGGAGGTGCAAGGAGGGAGCATGTGGCCTTGAGCCTGCACTGTACACAGTGGGGATGGGAAGGAGGACTGGCGGGGACGGGACAGGAAGGAGGACTGGTGGAGACCAGCCATAACAAAAATAGATTCTTTTTATTCTGTCATCCCTCAGGTTCAAAGTTTGCTTTTTGTTTTAAACCACAAGCTCTTGCTGCCCAGTTCAGATGTATTCCGGGGAAAATCGTCTCTTAGGCTAAGAAAGATTCAAAAAAATTTTGTCTTCAGTACAAAAAGTCTTAAGAGAAAATAAGTTGTTTTTTTTTTGCTCCCAAAACGCTACAAGGTAATCTCTAGTGTATGTCTAGTGTACTCTGTGAAAGGTTTGAATTCAAGTCTGAGCTATCGGCACTCAGCCCCAGGTCCGTGGCGCCCGCCCCATGGAGGCCCGCCATGCCTGGGTTGCTCGCCAGCTGGGAAAGCATGGCGCTCTGGTCCGGGCTGGCAAAGTGCCCTTGCTCCATGGCGTTCGCCTGGGCGGCCACCAGTCCTGGGTGCGGGGAGCTGGTCTGTGGGGAGACGTGGTGCGGGGAAGGCTGCGGCTGCATCCGGGGGGAAGGGCTGGAGTGGGGCGGCTGGGACTGGGGCCGAGGGGACGGGACGGGCTGGGGGGAGCGCACTTGGCTGGTGAGCGACGGGGGGATCTGCTGGCCCTGGAGGTGGGGGGACTGGGCCTGGCTCGGGAGCATGTGCTGCTGGGGGCTCATGGGGTTCGGCGGAGCCGGGGAGCCCATCTGCTGCTGGAGCAGCCGCTGCTGGTAGGCCTGCTGTAGGCTGGCCCCCGGCTCAGCCCCCATGGCCTGCGGGAGCTGGCCCATCTGTCCCATGCCCCCCGGCTGCATCTGCTGCATGTGGTGCTGCATCCGCTGCTGCTGCTGCTGCTGCTGCGGGGGGTAGCCCAGCCCCTGGGGCTGGGGGAACTGGCCGTGGCTGCCCATGGCGGGGCCCACCCCCTGCTGCTGCTGCTGCTGCTGCTGCTGCTGCCGCTGCTGGTCGAGCAGCTGCTGCTGCTGCCGCCTCATGAGGAGCTCCCGGAACTGCGCGGACATGCCCCCGTGATTCATGTTCATCTGCTGGGCCTGGGGGCTCACCCCGCCCATGGCCGGCGGAGGCTGGGGCTGGGGAGGGGGCTGCGGCTGTGGCGGGGGCAGGCTGGCTCGCTGCACGCCAGCTTGCATGGGGTTCATGGTCTGCATGGCCGGGTTGGGGTGCACGCCCTGCTGGCCCGGCACGGCGGGCTGGCCCTGGGGGTTCTGGGTGACGTACTTGGCCGCCCGCTGCTTGATGAAGGCGGCCAGCAGCTGGGGGTTGGCGTGGAGGATGTTGAGCACCTGCTGCTGCTGCATGGGCGAGCTGGGGGACCGCAGAGTCCTCAGGAGGTTCTGCAAGGCCGCCTGCGGCAGGGAGCCTTGCTTGGGCTGGGCCACGGCAGGCACCTGCCCCAGGCCCGGCTGGGGGGCCATGTTCATGGGCTGCCCGGGCTGGTTCCCCGACATCATGGCGGGCCTCTGCATGCCCGGCTGGAACTGCTGCGGCTGCGGCAAGCCGCTCTGGGCCCAGGGGGGCTGCTGCTGCATCCCGGCCGGCCCCAGCCCCTGGTCCATGTGGCCACCGGGACCTCGGGCCATCGGGGGCGGGTTCATGCCCATGGGGGCCATCTGAGTCATCTGCGGCATCTGATGCTGGACGGGCCGCTGGAAGATCTGCACGTGAGCCATCTGGCGCTGCGTCTCGGCGGCCCTCTGGATCTGCATCGCCATCTCCACGGCCGCCGGCGGGGGCCCCTGCACGGGGGGCTGAGAGGTCTGAGGCGGGGTCGGAGGGGTCACCTGGCCGCCCGCCTTGCCCTGGGACGCCGCCCCGGGCGGCTGCGCTCTGGGTAGGCTGTACGGCGGCATGGTGTTGGGGGGCGCGGGCTGGGGCTGGGAGGCGGGCGGGGGCGGGGGCGGTGGCTGGGGCGTCTGCGGCGTGGGGGGCTGCTGGCCGGTGGGCGTGGTGGGCGTGGCCGGGGTGGGCGAGGGCAGGCCCTGCTGCTGCCCCGCCACGCCGGTGCGCTGCATGCTGGCCATCCTGCGGCGCAGCATCTGGGCCTGCTGCAGGCGGTGCTGCAGCTGCTGCTGGCGCAGCTTGTGTTTGATGTTGAGGCAGAAGGGCACCGGGCACTTGTTCTCCTGGCAGTGCTTGGCGTGGTAGCAGCACAGGGCGATGAGCTGCTTGCAGATGGGGCAGCCGCCGTTGGTCTTGCGCTTGCAGCCCTTGGTGTGCTGCACCACCCGCTTCATCTTCTGGCAGGAGGGCAGCGAGCAGTTGGCGTTGCGGCACTGGCAGGCGTGCACCAGCGACTGGATGCAGCGCTGGATACTCAGGCGGCGTGAGTCCCCAGGGCTCTGGGTGGCCGCCGCCTGCTGGCTGCTGCTCTCGTCGTCCAGGCCCAGGCCCAGCTTCTCCATCTTGTGGTCGTGGTTCTTAGTGTTGTAGCAGGTGATGCACAGGTCATAGTCCTGGGGAAGAGGAGAGGAGGTCACCCACGTCTCCCCCCATCCCAGGCAGATCCGCCCGCGCAGGGTGTTTCCCACCGTCCCGTGCAGGGACCGTCCCTGGCAGGGCGTTTCAAGCTCACCTCACAGACTGTGCAATGCCATCTCGTCTCCACGTGGTGCTTGCACTCGTTGCATGTGTAGACAAAGCGGTCTTGGCTCTGGGTGTGCAGCTCCACCAACATGCACATGGTTGACCACTGTGCCCTGCGCAGCGAGGAAAACTCCAGGTGTTTGTCCCTCGCCAGGGTGAGGAAGGCATCACGGCCGTCCATCAGATCACAGGGGATGAGCGGGTCAGGTTCGGCAATGGGGGGCAGAGAGTTGGCAGCGGGGCCGGCGATGAGGCGAATCACAAAGAAGACCTGAAACAGACACGGGAAATGAGGACGACCTGTCCACCCTGACCCTCCGGAACGAACCAACAACCGGGATGGACTCTGCCAGGCGTCAGGGCACCAACGGCGCCCTTCGTGCGGCCTCGCTTAGACGCCAGTGCTGCCCGGGCAGAAGAGTGTGCAGAGGAAGGCAAGACGGGGCTCCGGGGATCGCCTCCTTCAATGAGTTCAGGAGAGCAAAAGAAAACATGCACTCACTGCCTCTGAACGCTACTGCTCTGCGCAGGGAAAGAAGGAAGAAAACTGTCTCCAACCCCTGCACTGTTCCACAAATGTACGGGACTTTCACTGCCACCCCCCCCCCCCCCCAAAACCCCCCTTTTTTCTCCGGGAGTTTTTTTTTTTTTTTTTTAATTTTTGCTAGGCAATGGGGTTGAGTGACTTGCCGAGGGTCACACAGCTAGTAAGTGTTAGGTGTCTGAGGCCAGATTTGAACTCAGGTCCTCGTGAATCCAGGGCCAGTGCTCTATCCACCACGCCATCTAGCTGCCCCTCAATGAGTTTTGAAAACATTACTTGTACTGTCTTAAAATGGTTCCAGTTTGAGAAAAATGATTCAAGTGATGGCATGCTATGTTGAAACTAACACTGACTTTATTTTATTTTATTTTTGTTTTTGGTGAGGCAATTGGGGTAAAGTGACTCGCCCAGAGTCACACAGCTAGTGAGCGTCAATTGTCTGAGGTTGGATTTGAACTCAGGTCCTCCTGACTCCAGGGCTTGGTGCTCTATCCACTGCACCACCTAGCTGCCCCTAACACTGACTTTAGAACCACCAGATTCGGTTGGACTCTCTGCTCTTACTTATTTTTGGCGTGACCTGGGCATGTCACTAAAACTCCATTTCCTCATGAATGAAACACAGGGGACTGTGAAAGGGTCCTGTCCTGTCAGGTCCTGGTGGCAGTAAAGGAATTCAGAGCAAGAAAGCAGCTCTGAAAAATAAATCCCATTCCCCTGCTCCCATGAATTCTGTCACACACACACACACACACACACACACACACAGAGTCATGAAATGTAGCTCTATAAAACCAACAAGCAGACGTCCCTAACAAGGAATACCACTAGAAAGAAATGCTTTATAGAACAAAGCTATTTCCCTGAGGTCAGAAAATGGCCCCTAAAGACCATGCTGAACTGATCTTGTTAGAACAAATGATTCTGAAAAAATATGCACTTTCTTTGATACCTGTCCGTGTTCAACTTTCACTTCCTATAAGGGCTTAATATGAGGATGAGCAGTTCACATTGTAGACAGAAATCTCAAGCAGCAATTAGTCCCCTGCCCTCATCATCCTGATAATTTTGAAAACACACAAAACCCGATGAAATTCCCCAAATACCCTCAACAACATGTGTAAACATGGAGAAACTCCAAAAGGAAACAAGGGCCTGTGGGTATGATTCTAGCACACTAGTCCCGTCCACTTACTTGTCCATTACGGAAAAGCCGGGCTGATGTTACCCCATCTCCTGACCCCAGGTTCCAGGACATCTCTAATGCATTCATTATCAACATTTCAAGGTGAAGAAGTTGGGTGGCCAATGGAGTCTTCTTTCTTACACTAAAAACACTGGGGCTGTTCACACAACTTGGAGAGTGGAAGAGCTGAGATGCCAGTGTTGAGGGGGTACCCTGTCCCACCCATCAAACAGGTAAAACTAAGGCTCACTCAACAGCTACAAATGACTGAAACAACGAGGTCAGACACCCTGGCCCCTCTTTCAACAAGAAGTCTGTCTCCTCACAACAAGTAATCAGGGCCCTAAATGCAGGGTTAACGGGTCGGAGGCCGATCCCCTCCAGCTGGGAAGGTGGACTTTCTAAATGGAGGTGTGGCCGTTCACCGGCTCTCTGAAGCCACGGCCAGCCCATCTCCCTGTGCTGAGAGAGCGGGGCACCACGGAGGAACGGCCCGCTGCCCTCACCTCTTTGTGCTTCTCCATGGTGGCGTAGAGCTTCTGCGAGAGGTCGTTGGAGACGTTGGGCATGCCCGGCTTCTTCTTGTTGCCCCGGCTCAGGCTGCTTTTGTTTTTGCTCGTTTTCTTGTTATTCTTCTTTTTGGCATTCTTGCTGTCTCCCTTGGTCACCTGAAGGAAGCACGGGACGAAAGTCAATGGTTTATGCCCAGAGAGGATGTAGGAAAGGAGCCCCTTGTGTTCGGGGCAGAGAGGTCGGATCCTGAAGGACTGTGAATCTTTGCAGAACCTGGCCTACGCCCACGGGCAGGGTGGATCCCTCCTAGAGAGATGCAGTCCCTCCCTCCCCCACGGAGCCCCTACGGGGACTTGCCCAAAGGGACCCCGGTGGACCAGTGGCCTGGCAGAGAGGAGAATGCTCCCAAGCAGTCCAGACCCCGTGGGGCCAGGTGCTGGTCTCTGCCTGCCTGCACCAGGTCAGCCACACCGGCGACAGCTCCCAGGGAAACAGACAGGGCCTGAGGTCCAACCGGCCCTAACATTCCAGGGCCCTGTTTAAGAACCAGACGAGAAGACAGGAACAAGACCCGTGTCCGCTTCCTGGCTGCGTGGGGCTGGCTTGTCTCTCATTTCTGAGGCGGGTGACCCGCCCCAAGGATTTTCCCCCTCCAGCGTGCCTGCGCTCCTCTCGACAGACAGCAGCACTGGGTGCGGGTGCGGGTGGGGGTGGGGGTGGGGCCAGGACCACGACTTACGTCTGCGCTCTCGTTGCTGGTGTTCTCTTCCCTCTTTCGTTCTTCCTCTTCCTGCTCCAGCTCCTTGATGCTCTCCTCCAGCACGTTGGGCCAGAAATCCCCCTCGAAGTACGGAAGCTCCTTCGCACTCGTTAAACGATCTTCCGTGGCTTGTTTAAAAATATCCTAGACGACACACAAGCAGTTAATTACCACCCACAGGAAGGGACAGAGGGGCCCCGTGTCCGCTGGCTACTTCTGCTCCTTTCCAAAGCTGTCTGATAAGGGATGGTTCCCTGGGAGGGGTAGAACGGAAATGGTCTTCCATCCTCCTGTAGCGTCCAGTAAGGCCAAGGGGTCAGACACTGCCCGCAACACTAACGCAGGCTGAACAGGACAGAATACACCAATGTACAACCTTCCAAGCCAACACGCGGCCAGCAGGGGTTCCTCGATCTGGGCCACTTCCAGTGGAGCTTGTGATCTCATCAGGGCTTACTGAGTACAGCAAGAGGCCGGTCAGCATCTACAGCAGAACTCACCTTGTAATCATGGACGATGCGTTCGGACACAGACTTGTCCAACATCTTCTTGTACCACTCCTGCAGTCGCTTGGGTTTGGGGATCTTCTGATCGGGAGGATGGCAGTGAAAGATGTAGTCGTCGCCTTCGCTTGGCGGGCAGGCCCAGATGTGCCCTGTTGTGTACCTAGCCCAAGAGGGTGTTCATTGAGAACCAATCTGTTATTTTTTTCTCTGTAAAAAAATCAATGTGACTTAAACTATGGGGGGAGGTGTGTGGGGCGTGTGGGGGTAGGGGGTGGATGGTGAAGAGACAGACACAAAATCCTGCAATGACCCTGCCCTCAGGCCAAGCAGGGCTCAGAGGGGCTCAGAGGCTCTGCTGGCAGCAGAGCTGAGAGGAAAGGCACACGGGCCTTTCAGTCACTGAGGAAGTAACTTCACCCTGTCACTGTCACACAGAAGCCAACTGGGTTCTGCTGATGATGAATGAGAGCCATCCCTGTTCAGCCAGAAGGTCTGGGGTATTCCTGAAAAAGCCACTTTCCACAAAGGGATCATAGGCGGAGAGAGCACGGGAGGAGAGGTGACTGACCTAGTCACTGGGGACGGCAGAATTTGTGATAAGGTCAAAGAGAGCTTAAGGGTCTGAACTGGCACAGGACAAGCGAAGGGGGTGGGAGAGACGAGACCTGTGGCCCTCTGACAAAATCCAAACTTCACAGAACAAATACATCCCTTTAACAAAAGGATTTCTTCTGTCCAACTTGGACTCAGTCAAAAGGCTACACCCAAGGACCCAGAAGGAACATCCCACACTCAATAGGACGAGCACACCCAGATCAATGGGATAATTATTTTCTTTGGGGGATAGGAGTAGAGTTGAAAAATGTCCTCAATGGTCATTTGGTTCCACCGTTGCTTGACCCTAGGAGGTCTTAGCCAAACAGCTAAATGCCTGAGACAGTCTAGAATATTCTCAGGTGCAGGCACAAACGGAGACATCACCTAGACTACTTACAGCAGAAGACAGCCAAGGGGAAGAGGCAAACACCATGACGTGGTATTTACAGGCACACCCAAGGACAATTACATGATATCAGAAAATAAAGGGAGCCTTCACGTAACATTCCTATCTACTCCCCACTATTATTAAACCATACTACCATTTAAAAAATAGAAATGCTGATATACTTACCCTAATTTCTTGACATATTCTAAGTAGCCAATTAAGATTTCATGATAGACTGCAGTCCTGAAGCATTTGGGACGGAAAAAATGAACACTGTCGAGGTAAGATATATATACCCTCCTAAAAAGACAGGAAGGAAAAAGAATAAATCAAATATTGCTGAACTGGTCATTCATACAAGGACAGACACTCCAGCAGGCATTGTCGTGAAGAAGAGAAATTCTCAAGTAAATACTTTCAGGGTCTACCTCGACTTCCACATGGTAGGTCCTACATACCTACATCCCAGTGCTGCCTTATGTCACAGGAATGACTGCTACCCTGGCCAGGTACCTTACACTACCCTGGATAACATCCTTTCTCTTGCCAGAAAAGAATCAGCTGTTAATTGTCCCCAGGCCCTTTCCTTGACAATCTGTAGACCACCTCTCCTCGGGTAACACAGCAGATGCTAAAAAAAATGGACACTTCTGAATTCTGGATTATAATGGAGGTACTTCACTGCAGAATCTCACAGCTGGAAGGAAAGGCCTCTGAGCCTCCCAGATCAGCCCAGGCACCCCTCCTCTGTGGAAGGAACTTAAATGTTGTGTTCCTTTTCCCCTGCCCCCTGGGGCCAAGTAGGACAAGGTTTGTCTCACAAATACGTTATAGTCTTCTGAGTGCTTGACAACAGATAACATGCCCAAGGTGCCCCTTACCTCTGGTTGGGCGGAGGGCAGTCAGATCCATACTCCTGCACGTGCATGCCAAAAAAGCACAAGTCAACGCCATCTATTTCCTCAAAGGCGAAGAGGGCCTTTGTTCGGTAAGGGAAGGATTCTGCCATCTCGCCACTGTCAACGAATCTGTGGGATTCAGAACGACGCACAGCTGGTTAGGTGGAGGACACACATGTAGAGTCAGACAGAGCAGAGGTCAGGACTCTCCCCCCCGCCCCGGCAAAGCCCACCTCTAAAGTGGCTAGCGCAATGGCAGAGACTCACCTCGCTTTCATGCCTGGCTTCACTTCGACCGTTTTGTCTGAAGCATGAACGACCCGAACTGTGACCTCTCCTGACTCTGGGTGATTCTGCCGTCTCAGAAAGTCATTCACTCGGTTTTCTAGGAAGGTACCAAGCCTGGTAGATGGCAATCCTAGATAAAACAAAATGATGTTCAAAAACAAGCCACAGGCACGTTTCTTACAGTTGGCCAGAGAAAGGGACCACTGGTCAATGTGTGAGATTATTATGACCACCAAACGATCTCATACTGGACAGACACACAATACACACTCCCACCACTTCTCATTTCTATAAAAATAAATTTTCATTGCTATCTTTTGCTTGCACATCATATTTATTTCCAAACTTAACCCTCCCCAAGGTAGTGGGTCATTCCTAGTAACAAAGACTGGAAAGGACACTCCAAGTAATTCAACAAACCAACCTATCAACTCTGCTCAATAGAATACAGAGCATGCCACAACCACAGTCCTTCACTCCTGCAAGGAGGGCAGAGGACTCTTCCCATGCTGCTCTGAATTCTTCATGGCACCGTTACTATTCCAATTACATTCATGTACAGTAACTGGGATCGACCATTCTAAATCTGGTTTTGACCGACACCAAAAGAGACTATGGAAATTTTGATCAATGTGTGATGACCAACTTGAGGTACGTGCCCAGAAGTGGGATCTCTGGATAGATACGGACATTTTACCACTTTTTAAAAAAAAAGCACACATCAGTTATGGCTGGATCAATGAATAGCTCCAACAGTGAAAAAATGCAGGTGTTCCTGCAGGCCCACCACCACTGACCCTTCAAATCTATTTTTGGGTGATCTTTGCCAACATGCTGCGTGTGAGGCAAAGTGAAATTCTGCAAAATGCTTACAATTCCTCATCTGTAAAGTCTCATCAAATTGTGGGTGAAGAAAATGCTCTTTAATAAAATGATCAGCTCTGAGGAAACTGAGTTAACTATTGGAAAGTCTTGAACACATATACGTTATGGGAAAAAAATGACCAAAACAATGACAAAATAATGCAAGAATATAGGAGCACACACACTGATTGTGATGACAGAAGGGCCCCAAGTCAACAGCAACATGGAGGAGGACACAGAGCAAATGGGGAGGGAAGGAAAAACTGGAGACAAGATATATTTATGTTGTAATAGTATGCCCTTCTTTCCAACTTTGAATTTCAGGGTAGTACTTGGGATGTCATTCATGTATGTCTTGGAGACTGCTATCTGTTCCAGTTTTAGTCAAAACATATTTAAATAATTCCATCTAACAATACTTCAGCTTACTAAACTTAGAGGATGCTGATGTGTTGGAAGCCTCATGAAGTCGTGGCCTTCAGCTGCACCCAGTAACTCTCGATCCTCTCAAAGATGTAAATAAGGTGCCTGCCTGCACTAATTCCCCAAATGGACCAAATCCATCAGGAGGGAGGAGCTGTCATAGCATCCCTTTGTTACTTTTCACTGACACTTTGCCAGAACTAGATTAAATTCAGTTACCAAGACGGTGGTGACATACTTTTAGCTGAAAACTTGTTTTCTTTCCGAGTTCGTCCAGTTTTCTTCAGACACCCATCACAAACAAATCTACAGTTAGAATAAAAAACAAAAAACAAGACATGTGCTTACTGAATCTCATACAGGGTAGAAAAGGAAATTAAACTAAAAAGAGAAGGCAGGCTTTCCAACTACCGAGAAGAGAAGGGACCTTCCTGTTCTATTTGTAGAAAAATGGGCTACTAGGAAGGTATCGCAGGCAGTCACTGGGCTGGGGGAGACCATCAAGTCCAAGCTGTACCTGAGAGGTAATGGTCTTGCATTCTTGCAACACTGCCAGTGAAGGGGTGGATGGCAACATGGGGGAACCCTCGGAGCAATCTTCCTTGAAGAATCTGCAGGGATACCTTTCAGGATGTGTGTGGGTAGCAATGTGGGCAAAGCACAAGACAGACACTCTCAGAGGAATGCAAGAGTCAGCTCTTAGCCACCATGGTCTTCTTAAGATTCGGCCTAGGACAAGGCAGGACAGGCTTGGTGTCTAAAAAAGTGCCCTGGGCATCAGGAGGGAGTGCTCCCCTTCCAGGAGCCTTGGAGAGGGGAGATGAAGAACTCAAGATGTTACACGATGACACTAATCATTTAATCAATGTGACAATAAAAACCAACCAGGAAGCAAGGATTCAATATGGAAATAAAGATTAATGAGCCCAGATCCAAAGAGTCCCAAGGATAAGCCTGGGTCAGAACGCCACGGAGGAGGGAAGAAAGGTGACAATCACAGAGGCTGCCTGTCTGCTCAGGAGTGTGGAGGGAGACCTGGTATAGGTGTTTTCAGGTGAAAGATCACCCAAAGTCTGAGGAAGAAAGGGGGCCTCTCTGCTGAGGGAAGGGGACAGACCGAACAGCGGGAGAGGGCCGTAGCCTTCCAAAGGTACGTACCAAGATGGGACTGAAAACTTCCCAAGTCTGGTCAAAATGGATAACATGACTGCAACTTCTGGTGCCTCACACAGGCACAAATAGTATGGCCAGAAAGAATCAAGAAGAGACCCAAGCCTTGGGCTCATAGACCCTGGCTCTCCACTGAAGGCACATGAGGAAGTGAACAGCTGGGTCAGCTTATGGTCTGAGAATGCAATCCGGATTTGGGGGGCTAGGAAGGGGACGGGCAGACTTCTGCACCTCACCAAAACTACTGAAAAGGGTTTCAGAGTGAAGGGACGAGGAGTAATTGCACTTGGAAGTCACTTGGGTCAGATGAACTGTAGCCTTGGGTATGAAAACAATGGACAAACAGGGCTGCTGTACCATTCTGAGGGATCTCCCACAGAAGGTGGAGGACAAAGAGGTAACGCAGCACCAGCCAAGGGCCAGCCAGTGGGCACTGATTTTCTAAAAAGAGATGCTAATGGAATGAGCCAGCTCTCTCCATAGGCCAATGAGTTTGACTTCAGTTCCTAGGGAAACACTACAAAGGATTCATGTCAAGATAGTCACCATTTAGAAAAGGAAGGGCTTCTCTTGGAGAAGCCGTGCTGTCTTTACATGAGGTCGGGCCAGAGAATGGCTTTATTTCCTATTACAACAGGAACATTGTCATCACCCGTCTTGTTTCTGGGCCTGCCCTGTGCAGATGTGACTTGGACACCTCAGCAATCCTGCGACTACAGACCCAGAAAATTAAGGCCTTGAAATCAAAGTCCTTCACGCTGACAAATGATGCAAAATCAAAAAGGGACAAGATTTTATCAGTGGAAATGGCATTAAAGATAATTCATCTACTATCTGCTTTTTAGCATTCCATCAAAATGTAGTATTGTTCACCAAGATCTGGTTATGCTCGAGGACAACGAGGAGAGAAAAGACGTGGAACTGGCTGAGTGGCCAGACCCAGAGTATCCACAGGTATAGCACCAACTTAGAAGCCTCTCTCCGGGGCAGTGCCACAGGGATCTCGGCTTTGACTTGGAGCTGGAGAGAGACAGCTGACCTGCTCGTGAGCCAGGGCCGAAAACAAGATGAACTTGAACAAGGACGTACGCCAAGTCTTGCAACTGACACTTAAAAACTATTTTCCTCAGTAGAAGACAGGGGACTCACGAAAAGAACGGACATCTGGCAGGTCACACGCTCAGTGTGAGGCAACCTGGCCGAGTGAGTAAGGCCCGGCTCCAGGACGAAGGTGGCGAGGGCCACAGCTGGAGAGAGCCTGCAGAAGGGGCACCTCAGGGGAAGAAGGCACTGGCTCCATGAGCTGAGAAGGCTCGGGGCGGGAAGGATGAGAGGCTGCCTCTGGTGCCCAGGAAAGCTGGGCACTGCTTGTCAGGTCTGTAGCAGAGGAGATCTGGGTGGGTGCAGAGGTCACTTCCAGCTCTGCCACAACTACCTACGTAACCCTAGACAAGTCACCAAACATCTCCAGGCCTCGGTCTCACCTGTAATAACAAAGGGTCCCTTCCAGGTCTAAAGTTATGATCAAACTAAGAAATTTTCATAAAACTAACAGATAGCCCTTCTCATTTCTATCATACAGGTCTGCAGAAAACTCGGACTTCATTTGCCACCCAGACCCCTGTGTAGGCCACCTGGCATGTCTATGGGACTTGGCTAGATGTCCTACAATGGACAGGACAGAGGTCTTCTATCAGCTCAAATATCAGGCCTCAGGTACTTTTCAGGAGAGGCCAAAAAACAGTAGCATCGACTGCTTACCCAGATGGCCAGATGACCTCGTTGTGAAGGACGCAGATCTGATGCATTTTCCGGCCACATTCTATACATTCAACAAACCTGGAATACCCAAGTAACCAAAGGTCAAGACTCAGAAAACATTCCAGAAAAGAATCCACGTCCAGGTTCATTAGCGTACATTGCCAAGGTCCCACCATCCACAAGCCAGTAAATCTCCTGCTTTCTGATCTCCCGACTGAAAGTGGTCACTTGATTAACTACATCCAAAGGCAAGTGCGCTTTGGCCATTAGAATTTGGGAAGGTTGGAGACAAAGGGGAAATACCAATTTGGAGAAAAGGAACAACTCTCCCCTCACAATGAACAAAGAAGTGAGCTTCTATTAGCCAACTTAGGCCCCCAAAGAGTAGAGACCACCCTGTTCTCTCTTCAGATTCTTGGGGTGACCCAGAACACTTGCATATTTCAATACCCCTCGTTTCTCAGGAGTCCCACTACAAACCAACAAGGGAATCACGTGAGCACTCACACCAGGAGAATGCTGCTATAGGGTTACTCAACTCTTGATCCAAGTAAAAGCATCAATTGTAGAGGTGTGTGACCAAGATACAGAGGATGACAGGGACTGAAATGTGCTCCAAAGAAGAGCTATCCCTGAAGCTGGTGCCGTTAAGACAGGATGGTTCTATAAACTACCAAAATACCTATTCATTTAAGTGAGAGAAAAACAGCCACATGGTCTAAAAGGGCATGGGGATCAGAAACAGCTGGGTCTGTCACTGTTGGTCTAAGCACTCACTTAGCTGCTATTCCAGGATTACCTAACTGTACAACCTCAGACCAGCTGATTAAAAGCAACATAAACTACTATTTGAAGGAAAAAAAAAGGAGGGGGGAACCCATGGGATTTTAAAGGGTTTCTGGAAAGAGAATGATAAAATGCTGTCAACGTCCGTAATTACTTACAGTTCAGGATCCAGTGTATCATTCTTTCTTTTGGAAAACTGTTCCTTATTTATTGTACTACGGAGAGAAAAAAAGGGACAATATTAAGAAAATGCCCTTTGAAAGAAGAGACTTTTTCTAGTCTATACTGTCCTAGCAAAAATAAATAGCATAAATAGCATCAGAGGTGGTCTGCTTGATTCACATTGTTGCAGTTTAGTGTTTATAAATTGACCCTACTATGGTATTTAAAAATATCATTAAATGATAGTGGAAAGCAAGTTAGATAACTCTATTTTAAGGTGAAATTCAAGTTCAACTAAAAAGGCTTTCTATTAATAAAGACTGTATTTCATCCCATCTCTAATACCCAGGATGCTAATATTTAAGGATAACTTTGTCACAGAAAACAGGCAAGTAATAAATGCTTATGCACATTTAAGACCGTATTAATAAATAAGAAAAGGGACCACACATGGTGAGTGAGAGCTGCTTTGGCCTGTAAAAGCACTTCTCAATGACATTAATACTCACACTTGCCCTGTCAGTACTTCTTCAAAGGACCCCAGGGACCAATCTCTCAAAGCAAGGTAACTGACTCCTCGCTTGGCCCCAGACGGCAGCAGTGGGGCTCATCGTGGTGCTTCCAGGAGTATGGGAATCACTTCAAATTTCCACCATTTATCCCACTAATCACTCTAAATTTCACGGCTACAGATTCTGCCTTAGACTTAGAAAGCTGTTACCTTGTTCTTTCCTTAGGCTCTATGCACTACAGTAATGTCCACTCAGTCTCTGCTGGGGCCCGTTCTGATTGTTGTACTGTAGCTACTAAAAGTTGCCAGGGAAATTACAATTTGTGGTCCTGATATGAAGTGTAAACTGTTCTAAGTCCTGCGATTTCCATCTTTTATGAATCGATGATTTTCCCTGCTCTTTTAATATAATTGAAACAAGTTGCTCCATTTATCAGAGACTATAGACAAAAATGATATGATTCAGAGCAAACCTCTGACATCGTTAACACTCGCATCTACCTAAAGGGTCATCCTCTCCCCCCATCATTTTAGTCCATGTCTGAGAGAAATTACTTTTCCGATCTCTAGTTTGAGATTACAAAAGATAGGCCAGACTATGTTTATTTCCAAGATAAGCTTTCATCAAGAGGTCTGACCTCGGAGATGGCTGGGCACAGGCGTTTCTTCCAGGCGTGCCAGAGAACAGTTCATAAGACCAGGAAAGTAAAATTAGTCTAAAGAATTTCTGAATCCAAAAAAATGGAGACATGCTCTATCATTTTCTGATAGCAAGAGGGTCGACTCCATTCCTTGCTTGGCTAATTTTAGAATTTACAAGCGGGCTGACAAATCACCTTACTTATCCCTCCAGCCTCCATTTCTCCATCTGTAAATGGGGAGGACAGGCAAACACTGTGTGAACATGTGACTTCCATCTTGGAGCAAAGCATACTCTCTCAAATGAAAGTCGGAGCTGGTGAGCTGCCAGCAGGTATTAGTTCTGTCTGGCACAAAGAACTACGAAAGGGATTCTGCGGCAACATTCTGCCAACCATAAAAACAAAAAGTGATGAAGAAGGGGAAAAACAAGAGAACCTACAGGTGGAACCTGAAGGGACCTGGTCTGGAAGGTCTGGAATAAGGAGGAGGCCGTTTTCGGGTGAGGACATGACGGCCTCCTTTTCGGACAGTAACTTGTATGACCGACACTCTGGTCTCAACACAGAGGACTTCAAGGGGCCATCGTTTCAGAATGAACTGGTTGAGAAGACAAAGCTCTTCAGACACTGACCACAAGCCCCAAGTACTTACGTTTGAGGCTGGGATGGATCATCCCCCAGAGAAACGCTCTCGCCCTGGATTTCATTGAAACACTTCTCACAGAAATGATACCTGTCGGCAAGAAGGCCATACTGGGGTGAACTGTTCCGGTCACCCAACACAGCCCAAGCCACGCAACGACGCCACCAATCACAGCAGGCCAAGGAGGGGGACAGGAGCAGAGAGCAGGTCATCAACGGCGACAAGGACAGTCAATGATGGAGGTACATAGGCACCCACAGTTTGGGTTTGGGTTTGGGTTTGGTTTTTGCAATCAGAGCCAAGTGCAGACAACGACAAGCATGAAGGAGAAAAAAAAAACAAAACAAAACACACACACACACATACACACACACGTACTCGAAACAAAACGAAGAAATGAGTGTTCACAGGACAACAGACAACATAGAGCCAGACAAGACAACACAGAGCAGAAAGCCAAGGCAAAGCACAGATTAGCATTCAGTCTCTCAAATGGGATCACAAGCAGCAAATCAAACCAATATTCCAACTAGGTTAACCCACACCCTTGTGTCTTAATAATACAAATGAGGAAGGGGATGTGCCTTAAGCACCCTAAGTGGAGAAGTCCTACTTTCCCTTAAAACTCCCATGACACATGCTAGGAGGCAAGGCCATCACAGAGGACTCCAGTCAGAGAAAGGGAGACAAGCACATACTCTGACCATCACCAAGTTGGGGGGCGGGGCACTAGCTATTAGGGAAATCCTTTCCTGAAATAGGGTGAAGGCCAAACCAAGGGACAGCCGTGCGCCTGCATGCACAGACTCACACACACAGCTACTACATAGGTGAATCAACAGATACTGCTGGGTTGGAATTTAGAAGCCAAAATGATGTGTCAAGACAACAACATATTGGGGGTGGGGGTGGGGGAAGAACAGGACAATGGGGAACGTTTCATGACGACCATTACTTGCTGTTTAAATACAAGATATTCCTAAAGACTTGTAGTTACTCTACCTACCCTTAGATATTTCACTAAATATAATCGATGGACCTTCAAACTACCACCAAAATGTTAACAAGAGTGCACCTAACTTTAAAAAACACTAAGAAATGGACGATGCTAACTAAAACAATCATTTTTCAAAGCCAGAAAGGCCTCAGTATCAAAGTGGCACCACTAAAACTTTTAAATTCATTTGGTTTTCCAGCCTTGCCATCCCAGCACGCCAATATGGAAAAGAATACACTGGGCAATTATACTGCATAGGTGAGGAGTCGGAGGCAGCAACGCAGACATACGACTGATACTGAGAAGGGACCCTTGCTGAAGACTGCCAAGGGCACGGGGTCTGTTTGTGTGTCTGTCTACGCACACACACATCTGAACACAAAGACCCTGTCGTGGACCTCACTGCAACAATGTGGACAGAGAAGGACTGGATACTGCCTGGCTGCTTCTTGCGAGCTAGAAACGATGAAAAACGTCTCCAACAGATACAAACTCACAAGAACAAGTGAGGATCGACATCGATGAGTTTCCAGTGTATTTAAAGCGGGGGATCTGGTGGGCTGGTTAAAAAGAACTCAGGAAGAAATCCGCTTTAATGCAGGATTCTAGGTCAATCTGAAAAGTCCAACGCAGAGCACCAATGCAGAACCAGAGGGGCCACAGGGTTGGCCAGCACTGGACCTCCCAAAACACAGGAGGAGAACAGGGGTTCTGCTTTTAACATCACTTCAACTGCTACTTCCTTGGTTCTCTTTGGGCCTCAATTGGGAACGAAATAACAGGGCCAGACCCAAAGATCAATCCCAGGTTCCCCATGACTGAGTTTTAGAAACGCAAGGGCGGGGCGGGGGGGGTTGGGGGAGGGCAATTCTTTTCTACCTGAAAAAGAGGAACATGCCCATCCTTTCCTGGCTGCCTAGATGGCCTTTCTGGGGGACAGGATAAATGGAGTATGACTGTTTCAGGGTCAGGCTTACCTGTTTTGGTAACTGTAGTAAGTGGCATCTCGAGGGATTGTGCACAGCTGTTTGCCATAGCAACAAAGTGTTTGGGGCGAGAACTCCAACTGCAAGACAATTTGTAAGTGGCAAAGGTTTGAATGACAAGTCAAAAGAACAGTCAATTAACTGACAAATAAAGATCCTTTTGAAGGAACATCCACCTGCCAAGCTCATAATTTTAACTTATCTTCATCTGTTAATGTTCTAGTTCTCAAAATCTAAGACGAAACCAAAAATCTTTTTATTTAAAAAAAAAAAATTCTAATATACCACATAGAAATTCTGATTGAGTCATTCTTTCTAATGGGCGTCATTTCTTTAAGTACAGTAATGGAAAGAAGCTTTTACTTTAAAAGGAAGAAATAATAACAACAGCAGCTATCCTCACAATGGGCCTGTCAAGTTGGCTGAGGCACAGAGAGGCAAGGCCCAGGCTCCCAGGCTTCCCCGCCTGACTCGACTCTGCTATCCAACACAGATGCTGAGATCGCGGTCTTTGACAGGCCCACCGTGAGGCGTTGGTTTATTTCGGACAGAAAAACGACATCCAAAGGAAACCCCATTTCTCACCTTTCTGCCACAGCAATAGCCAAGGCTCTGCATGACGGGGTCGATTTCCTGCTCAAAGACCTCAGCCAGCTTGGAGCAGTACTTGTACACTCGCGACGTCTTTCGGTTATAGAGCCAGGCATTGTTGAACATTAGCCATATATCGTCCACATACTGCCAGGGCTCTTGGTACTGTCCAGTGTCTAATTTCCTCTTAATGGTAGAGAGATCCATAGGACTCTTCACTATATCAAAATAATCCTAGAAAGAAAGAACAGATGTGAGGGCAGCATTACTTGAGAGACTTCCAAGACAAATCCAAGTGGATCATTTATCTGTCTTTATTCTAAGAGAATAAAATTCCAAAGGAAGCAAGGTGATCAGAACTGTAATTTTACTCTACAGCTATCTGAGGCTTTCCAGGCAGAGCTGCGGGTGCTCTGTCCTGTACTGCGTGGAGTGAAGGGTGGCAGCAAAGCAATCTTGAGCTCGAGGAATGGATTCCAAACTCATGGCAACAATACATGACTCAACTATCTTATTTTTTTGGGACAGCATGGTCCTTTCGATGTCTTCTTACTACCTAATGCTCTCTGCTCATGATCACTGCTGGCCAAATGCATGCATGGATTTTCAAAGGTACAAGAAAAATTTAAAGCATAGCATGTAATTGTCAATAGGCATCTAATGATTATTTCTTCAAACCATGGCATAACAGATGGGATTCTGTCAATCAACCAAAAAAATGATCTCATAATAGTGCCACGTCCAGGGGTAAGAGTGTGGTGGGCAAGAGCTCACAGTCATGTACGTACCGGAATTCCTAGAAGCTGGGGGTCGACAGGCTGCCGGAAGGGAAGGGATTCTGGATCCTGCCGGTAAAGGGCCTCCAGTGTTGGCATAAGTGCCTGACGTAATTCTTCTGGCTTGAAAACTTAAAAAAAATTTATTTTTAAAATAAAAATAAATTAAGTTGTACATATATGCACACATATTATGTAAGTTAGAGTACTTAAAAGAGATCCAAAAATCATCCCCCCCACTTCCCTCTGCCCCCCTTCCCTAACACTCCCCACCTCCACCATAAGACAATGACCAACAAAGAAATCTCTCCAGAGGGAGGGAGGAGCTTGTCAATTTCAGACTACCCTACCCAGAGAACAGCCAGTCAAGAGACCTGAATGAGGTCAATCCCCTCTGTCCAGTTATTAAAAAGTGATGAGCTAGTTAGAATTGATCAGAATCAAGAGATGTGTCTGCAGGGTAGAGCAGATCAAAACCACCCCCCAAGCATTCAAATGACACTTGGAGTGACAGACATTACAAACTAGACAAGGTCCCAGGACGTTCCTGTTACAAACATGGCATCATTAAACACCGGTGACGAGAGTGGTACAAGGCTCCAGGCCTGCACTGTCATCTAGAACCTCAAGAAATCACACATATGTGCCGGGTGAGGTAGCCTGTGGCCGGGCTAACGGCATCAATGTCAATGTCAATGGACACAGATGAAGCTGGTGGCCGCTCTTGGGCTCCTGTGACCCTGTATTGAAGTAGCTGAACTTCAAGTGAGAGGAGGAATTAGCTGCCCAAAAGGAGGAAGCCTTTGGAAAGACTTAGTGACCTACGAAAACTTGTTCAAAGGTATTTTCAGATGAGCTGCGCCCACCAAATGAAAGGGGTTGGGCAAGACCGGGCACACAGCGTGTGGGAGCCCATGCCCCGAAGACCCCAAACATGCCTGCTTCTCTCTAACGCACAGGCCACAACCACCTCCTGGGCGCTGGTACAGGAAGGGCGCTGGCCAGCGTTCCATCTGGGGAAGGAGGGAGATTTCACTGGCCCGTTTCTGCTGAGCCTGTAAGCAGGACCAGGTGCCACTCCAGACCACCCTCCCGCCATTCTCCACAAGGGAGAAGGCTGACCTAGACTTACTTTTTTTCTTCGACTGTCCTGGGGCTGGAGAAGACTGAGTAGCCGGGGTGCTTGGGGGTTCCTCCTCCTCCTTTGGTTCTGTCTTCACTTCTCTTGGTTTCTCTTCTGTGTCCATTGCTTCCAGCTTGCAGTCTTCTGCCACCACCGTTGCTTTGACCTGAAAGATACGTAGATGGTTCTGTTCCAGAGCATCCTGCATTTTCGGAAGAGGAGACATCATGAATTCCTTAATGATCCTTACTCTCATGAAATGAATGAGATGTAAATTATCATCAGAATTTGAGCCAAAACATGCTCATTTTTTTCCCCCAAATATTTTCCTTTATTGAATTTTATTCCAAAGAGCTGATCAGATTACACAAGGCATGATTCGTCTCTCTCACCTCTGGCTTATCCTCTGGCTGGGTGTCTCCTGGTTCTGACGGATCCTCCTCCATTTTGGTGCCAATCTTAATGTCCTGCGAAGGCTGCTGCTCAGGAGCAGCCTGGGAGTGCACTTCTGTGCTGCTGGTTGATGGAGGGCTTGACACCTGTCCTTCAATGCTCACAGCAGGCTGGGAAAGCTAGGGAGAAAGCAAAGGGTCCAAATCACAAAGTAAACGTATCCTGAAGAACACCTATTTTTTGGGGGGGGGGAAGGGGGAGTCCTTACTAATTCACCTTTTACTAAGTGGAATTTCCACTGTGCCTCAAACTTCTCTCACTCAGGTGTTTTAATTTTTTTAAAATGCAGGCCTCCAAAACCTTGTAAATATCTGTTCATTCTTTCTCACCCAAGTATTGAGTATCCAGCACACATTTAAGAAAACGAGCCAAGTGCCTTGGAAGAGTCAAAAGAAAAGCTGAAGGAGCTTCTGACTCTACAGCCCCTAAACAATCTCATCTTTGCCCATGAAAAGGCTGGGGCCAGGCCCAGGTCCAGGTCTAGGTCCAGCCAGGCGTGCACGGAGGCCCTCGCCCTCCCTTTGAGGTGACGGGCCCTTCCTGTCCTACAAACACACAGAGGTCACTGCTTCACTATTCAACAAAGGCTCACCTGCTCTTCTCCCTCCTCAGGGCTCAAAGGGCGTCTGTCACACAGTTTATTTTTTTCTCTCTTTTTTTAAAATTTATTTTGATTTCTCAATAATCACTTCCATATGCTTTTGAGTTTAAAATTTGTCACACAGCTTAAAGATCCATCTAGTACCAGGAAAACTGGCTTTCTACAAATACGCATGCTCACATGTCTTAGGTCCATGAAACACATGGGAATCCAAAAAGGATGGAAAGAGCATTTACAAAGCAACTGACAACACCAGACACACACAATTTCAATGGATCCTCCTAACAACCCCTGGGAAGTGTTATCAGTCCCACTTTACAGATGGGGAAACCAAGGCAGACAAAGGTGATCTGCCCAGCATCACACAGCTGCTAAATGTCTGAAGCTGGATCTGAATCCACCTCTTTGTGCTTCTTTTCTGCCCGTGTTCTGTAGCCCAGGGCCTAGACTCCCTATATGTATTTAGCGATATTACCAAGGAACACCATCCAGAGACCCCCCCCGCCCAGATGGACAGACTGGAATGAATCTCTCCCCCAGCCAGGCGGCTGGTGGTCTTCCTAGCCAGTGTCCTTACTGCCTCCCCCCAATTCTCCAGGGACGTATGCCATGGCAGGAGCATCACAGAAGGGACCTTTCCTTCAGCACCAGGACTGATCCCATCCCTTTTTCTTGGCTAACCACCAATGTACTGCACACCTGCTGGGCACCTGCCCTCACAGGGCCCCTGTGACAGCACACAGAGTTCATTTGGCAGGGCTGCAGAGAATAAGGCAGAGAATAGAGAAAAGTCAAGGTTTCACCTACTGGAGTTGAAGGCTGCTGAGTCGGGAGTGGGGCCGTCGGGGTAGGCACTGACGCCGTGCCGCTCTGCTGGGACAGGGGCTGCTGCTGGGGTGGCTCGACTGAAGGGACAGCAGGAACTGCAGGCTGCACTTGGGGAGGAAGCTGTGCCTGAGGAGGGGTGGGCGTCTGTCTTGGAGTCGGGTGGAGAGCAGGGGGTTGTGGTCCAGAGGTCATTGCCGGGGGTGTTGGAGCCGGGGCCGAAGCTACGGAAGCTGGAGGCTGCTGGGACCCCATGCCTGGGGGGGTATGATGCGGTGTAGGAGTTCGACTGGGGACTGGAGAAGGGGAATTTCGATGCAGAGAAGGTTGAGGGAGAGGGGGGCAGTGAATGTGGTTCCCCTGAGAACCTGGAGTCATTGCAGGAGAATTCACAGGACAGGAAGAACTGGGCATCTGTGCCTATTAAAAAACATCCATTTGTAAGTTCACATAAGGAACATGTCCACCTGAACGGAGCAAGTCTAAGATGAGATGGTCAACATCGTTGTATACCTAAGTAAAAGTTCCCAAATGGGGAAGGAACAAAAGGTGTTTTCCCTAGACAACATCTACAAAACAATGTGTTTCCCGCTCAGATTAGCAAAAAGCCCCCTAAGTCATTAAACACTCCCCTCAAAGTTGAGAATGGAGAGAATCAAAGCAAGCAGTCTACATACTTGAGACACTGGTGCCTGGCTGTTGGGCTGAGCCATAGGTATATTTGCAGGATTCAGTCCTTGAGAGGAAGTGGAAAACTGATTCTGTTGAAGGAACTGGTTTTGGCTGGAAGGCTGACCAACTCCAGGTTGTTGCATCCGTGAAGCAAAGGCAAGAGACTGCAAAAGAACACACAGTCCCAGAACACCGTAAGATCATGCCATGAGGATTGCGGGCAAGAACTAAGGAGGTTTAGCTTAGAAAAACTATCATCATAATATGCATGATAGCTGGACTGAATTTTCCTGGTTGGGCCCAAAGGGCAGAATGGATAGAAGTTGCAAAGATTTCAATTTTATGCAAAGAAAATCCTCCTAGTGAATAAATACAACTCTTTAAGAATGGAATGAACTGCCCCATTTCCACTCCCTAAAAAGGGTGATCAAGGAAAGGATAAAAGTCAACCACTGTAGACACTGAACAGCTTCTACTTAATGTAAAGTTTCGGGAAAACAGGAGTTAAGAGAAAGGAGTGGGACAACCAAGGGGAAAACAATGATGATAAAAAGGACCCCGCCCCCAACAATCAACCCAAAGGCCTATCAATAAATAGGCCTATGACTCCCAATTGTCTATCCCAATAATCAACTGTCATCAATGTATGATACACATATTGGCATGCAAAAGAGTTGTCAAGGGAAGAAGGTAGGAAATACCTCCTTGAACGTCAGAACTGATTAATGGATGAGAGAGCAAATCAGCTGAAGATTCAGCAGCATTGGATGTTGGCATCACAATTTTCCCCACCTAACAACACAAATACTCACTACTACACTAGGCAGGTCAATTGATAAGATGACCTTTCTGTTCAAAAGGCAGAATCAAAGAATATATTCATATACAACTACACTCTTATGCATGCATTATACTACATGAATACTGCATTTTCTTATCACTACCCCAACTCAACAAAATCCCATCTCTTTGGCTGATGCAATCTCCACCCCCCAACCCACTCCCCAATTTGTGAAACCACAAGGCCCAGTATACTACTCACTGCAATTATGACCTGGCACCACCCTCCCTTCAACTCTACATCCAAAGTCTGACCTCACTTCCACTCTAGGCTTTTTATATAAAAAAGAAAGAACACAAGCAGGAAGGATTCATTTCCCCTTCTGGAAGGCATGTTTTACAACCATCTACTAGGGGTGGGGGAGGAGAAAGAGGAAGAAGACATCAATGGAAAACAAAGAATAAAATGCTGACCTGATTCATGGGCCCAGCCTGGGCTAGCTGTCCAGGGTGCTGAAGAGGAGGCGTCTGCCTGGGTCCAATGGATGGCAGCTGCATGTTCATCTGGCCAAACTGATTCATTCCTGTTTAAGTAACAAAGACGTGTGTGTACGCAGGTGCACAAGGAAGCACATGTCATGGAGTGACTTTTCAAGGCTCAAATACTCTACTCTAAAAAATAACTAAGGACATTTGTTCATGAATGGCTGTTCTACAGTTGAGTGAGAGGATATCTTATAACGTACACTTCTCAATATTCCTCAACAGGAGTTTAAATGGCCCTTCACTGTGAGTCACACCCTGTGGTTTTACTTTCCTAAGACTTGGATAGCTTGAGATATGTGAATTCAGGCAGTTCTGGGTTTCTACCTGGAGCCTACATAGAAGGAGTTTCTGCCAGGATTAGAACCTTGATCATTAAGATCACTTTGCATCTGAACTGGATCCTGTTTTGACGTACCTGCCTGTGGAGGCATACGAGTCATCATCTGGTTTGGAACATTGGCACGGATCATAGTTGGGTCTGGCAAAGGACCATCTAGAGGAGAAGAAATCCAAGATTAGGCAAACATTTTATTTTAAAAAATAGAATAATTAAAAACCAGTAACATTTGAAATAAGACTAGATGGGGGCAGCTAGGTGGTGCAGTGGATAGAGCACCGGCCCTGGAGTCAGGAGGACCTGAGTTCAAATCCGGTCTCAGGTCAGACACTTGACACTTACTAGCTGTGTGACTCTAGGCAAGTCACTTAACCCCTAACTGCCTCCAAAAAAAAAAAAAAAAAAAAAAAAAGACTAGATGGCCTCTAGGGGCTCTGTCAGCCCCCAAATCAAATCTTTGGTCTTAGTGAGGTGCTGTACAGCCCAATTCGACAACTGTCCCCTGAAACTGCCCCAGTCAATTCCTCCAATGGAATTATATTATATGTAACTTACATGTGTGTTTATCTATTACATGGTAAATTAGCATTTATTTTTCAATCAGTTGGTCACTTGTTATTCAGTGGTTTCAAGCAGAGTCTAACTTTTCATGATCCCATCTGGGGCTTTTGTGGCAAATATACTGGAGGGATTTGCCATTTTCTTCTCCAGGACATTTTAAAGATGAGGAAATGGAAGCAGACAGGATAAAGTGACTTGCCCAGTGTCACACAGCTACTAAGTGTCTGAGTCCAGATTTGAACTCAGGAAGAGTAATCTTCCTGATTCCCAGCCTAGTGCTACTTAGCAGCCCCTAAAAAGACCGGTGGTGGGATTACTGCCTAGTTGAAATATGTAGAAACAAATGACTGATTGGATCAGTGATAATCTCATGCTTTATCACATTCTAATCAAAAGGAAGCTCTCCTTATATAGATTTATAAGCCAAAGGACATCAATGAAATTAAAATGTAGAAAAAAGAACTACACATTCACTCATTTACTCCAACTCCACCCTCTCCCCCCCAAATAAAGGAACCTGCCTCTACAACATGGAGCATCTCAGCTTGAATCCCCACTTTAAAGCTTTACTGTCCTCCCTCTCCCCTTGGAGTTGGTCTGACCCTAGCCTTTCCTATGAGTGGATCAGACCCTCCGATATTGGAAAAGTGCTGCCATGGGCCTCGTATCTTCCAGGTAACCACCCTCAGGATTCTGTCATGGCTTGCAGAACCTATGCACTGCTTTTCCTTCCAGTTTTCAAATGTTTCTCTTTAAAGTGGGACAACAAGAAGTAAAGAATACACTCAAGTTAGGGACCCATGTGCACAGAATACAGAGGAACCAGCACTTCTCTGGACCTGGATGCTGTATTTGTGCTGGTTCATTGGAAACTGAGCTTGTAATGAGTGAGGGGTCAAAGTTTTGAACGTGGCACTAATAAGGGCATTTGCATTTTTAAAAAACAATAAAGTCACCCCATATTATGCCCTAGTTCGTGGACAAATGTTTTAAGATAGGTTCCCATTTTCATTTATCTATGTAAAGTTTATCAATTTTAACCTATCATCTCTGGTTGTTCAGAATCCAAATTCAAAAAGGTTTATCAGAGCAGCTAAATAGCAAAATAGCAGCTAGCTCTCCTATGAGGCCAGATGACTTCTTTGTCTTTATCCAAGAGACCTGTGGAAAGTCATTTCAGACTATCTCAAAGGGCAACATCAATCTATTAACCAGCATTCTGATTTTTCAACGACCTATAAATCAAAGTAACTTCATCCTAACCATTTTTCTCCCTCTTTTGCCCACAAAGCAATCTGACCTGATTACAACGGGCAAAACCACAATTCTCAATGAGAAGAAGTACTAGCCTTCCATTTCTCATCAATTTACTTCTTAATTCACAGGACAATTCCCTGTCCACCTCCTGAACCTCCTCCTTCTCAACCCTGACCAGTTACAGAGCTTCCTAACTGAAAACGGCCAACGATGGCCAACCTGCAGTCTCCTTGATCATGAACAAGCCCTGCCTCTATCCCAGTGATTGTGAACTCCCAACTGATTGAAACCCATCCTCCACTGTGGGTCTCCCTATTTCCCTTCTCCGCCCCCCACAACACACATATCCCCTTTCCCATAGTGACCTTGGGATTGCCTACTCCGGAGCTTACCAACTAATTTTCATCTTTTCCTTTGCTACCTTTTATCCCCCAGGCTTTGTCCACAGCCTGACCTCCAACCCCTTACCACTCACAGTTCTTTCCTACGACATCATCCCGCACTTTTTTTTGGGGGTGAGGCAATCAGGGTTAAGTGACTTGCCCAGGGTCACACAGCTAGTTAAGTGTCAAGTGCCTGAGGCTGGATGTGAACTCAGGTCATCCTGACTCCAAGGCTGGAGCTTTATCCACTGCACCACCTAGCTGCCCTGCACTTTCACCTCCCCCTTGCCACCTTGGTGACAGTTCCATCCCTACCCTCTCAGCTGCGGTCCTTGGCTACCCCTCTACCTGCACAAGGGATTCCATTCCATCCCATCTCCTCCACCTGACCACCCTCATCCCCACTGTCTCTCTGCTGCCCACTAATATTCTCTGGTCTCCCCAATCTGCCCAACCATGCCTGCTGGCTATCACCTGATGGCTCCATTCTTCTAAGGCTGAACTCCTTGACAGGTGACACACAGTGGGTAGCTCCACTTCCCTCCCTTTTACTTGCTTTAGTCCAGGGGTGGGGAACTTGTGGCCTTCGGGTCCCTGGGTGCAGCCTTTTGACCGAGTTAAGTTTTACTGAACAAATCCTTTTATGAAGGGGATTTGGTCTGTGAAATTTGGATTCAAAGGGCTGCACGTGTCTAGAGGGCCACATGTGGCCTTGAGCCCTAGGGTCCCCCCTGCTCTGGTCTCTGAGGTCTGGCTTCTGACCAAAATTATTCACAATGTCCAATCTAATGGCGTTTTTCTTAGGCTTCATCCCTCTCGGCCCCTCTGCAGCCTCTGACCACGTCAATCACTCTCTTCTCAGCTCCTTCCTACCTGACACCTCCATCTCAGGGTCTTTTGCTGGATCTTCATCCATGTCATGCCTGCTTATCCTGAGCCCTCTTTTCTACCTGGATTTCTACCTGGCATTGAGATCTCAATGCCAGTGATTCTCAGGCTGACTTATCCAGCCCTCATCATAAACGTCTATTAGACAACTTAAACTCAACATGACCAAAACTGAACTCATTATCTTGCCCCAAACCCTCTGCCTTTCCTAATTTCTCTCCCTTCTGAAGGGAGGAGCCCTCAAGAAGCTTTTTGGCCACACACGAGTTTGTTCTCACTCGCCCACAAGGCACAGACACAGCTCATGGGCCACCATCGCCAAATGTCTTCTTGCAGCTGCTCTGTAAAAGCCCAGGATACCCAGCCCTCGGGCGCTGGCCGCCAGAAAGCCAAACGTCCCCAAAGCAGCACTCACTGGCAGCCATCGCCGGTGGTGGCGGCGGCCCCAGGCTGGGCCCCTGATTCATGGAAGGTGGTGGGAGGCCCGGGCCAGTCGGCATCAGGTTCTGCTTCTGGAGCCTGGTCCGGCGTTTCTCCTCCAGTTCTTTCTGGATCTTGTAGATCTTTTCGGCAAGGAGGTGGTAGTACTCAGCCTTTTCATCATTTGAGAAAGAGAAAGAAAATGTTATTTGGTACCAGTAGAGAGGTATTAGATCTGTCTAGACAGACTGACACAGACCACGGGCAGGAGTTTGGTCTACATTCCTTCACAGCAATGGGTGGGTGCAGTTCTCCCACCAAAATGGAGACACACTGATTCTTAATTCTTAAAAACACATTTAGTAATTGGCTTTACAATGTGGATATTAGTACCTAAATTTGGAGCTTTGGAAAGCAGACCCATCTTCCACGTGGGGTTAGAGGACCTGAAAACAAACCAAACTGCTAACAGAAGATGCATCTAGCGTGTGCATAAAGAAGAGGAGGTGTATATGCTAATACAGTGAGGCCAATTCCTGCAAACTGCCTCCACAGATCCCCCGAAAGGAGGGGAAGCAGGAGACTCACTCGACTATTTGCAGATTCATACATGTCCCCCTCCACCTTCCGAGCATATGCAACCAGGTTCTCCATCCGCCTGTCTTTGAGAGCAGCAGGATCTGGAGTCGGGAATATGGCTTGGACACTAAGGGCAGAAACAGAAAAGAGAGTGGTTGTTTAGTTGTTTTCAGTCATGTCTGACTCTTTGTGACCCCATTTGGGGTTCTTGTGCCAAAGATGGTTTGGCAAAACCAAAACGGTGGTTTGCCATTTCCTTCTAATGCTCATTTTGCAGACAAGGAAACTGAGGCAAACAGAAGTTAAGTGACTTGCCCAGGGTTGCATAGCTAGTAACTGAGGCTGGATTTGAATTCAGGTCTTTCTGACTCTGAAACAAATCCAGCTTTTTCACCAAAACATACATGGTTAAGTTATTAGAAATAACACAATTCTTCCCCCTTGTTCTTCTGATACTGATTTCTCTGTGGTACGGAAGCACATCAAGAGGATCTTTTGGTCCCACAGACATGTATATAATACAAAAGCCTGAGCGTCACTGAAACAGCTATAGATCTGGGAGTTACAGTGAGCAGCATGAGACAAATACAATATAAGAAAGTAAAGCCCAAGAGAGAGGCCCCAGAGCAAGGCCAGGCTGAGGCGAGGGGCCTGTGCTCATGGTCAGGTAGCAGATGCTACCTGAGTAGTTACGAGAAGGGCGCATGCTCACAGTCAGGAAGCTGACACACCCACCAACTTACAGTTTGTGAACAAGATGATTTCGAAGATCCTGAGTAATATCTTCGTGCCACTGCTTCCGAATTCCAGCACTGGCTGGCTGGCTGGCTGCTGGCAGAGCCCCCAGGTTGGCAACTCCAGCATTTTCATTTATCATTGGGCTTTAAAAAGGAATCAATAAAATAGTTTATACTCAGGAGAAGGAACAGAAAAAGACACTACTTAAGACAAAGACCTCACCTGGTGAGTGCTGGGATTTACAGAACACAATAGGTGGATCTTCTCTTTATAAGAAAAAAACAAAACAAACAAACAAACAAACAAAAAAAAAAAAACAAACCAAAAACTGTCTCGAGTTTTGGGATAGAAAGCCGTGCTTTCCCATAGTTTAACAAATAAGTGAACCCAGGCTCATTTCTGTCACTATAACAAGTGGCTTACAGTATCCAGCAAAGCATTAAGCTTTGTCATTCCATTCTGTGTGGACTGGGTTGAATTGGATACTTAAATAACTCCTAATCTAATTACTGGTCTCAACAGGTACAGGGAAATCAAATCCCTCAAATCCAAGAAACTCCTCAGGGTAATGAATAAAAGAACCAATCAACAACAAACCATTTTTATTAAATATCAGAACCAGATCATTAACCAGAACACTTACTTTTGCGAATTCATGGTTGAATGCATCATTGTATCAGAAAGCAGACTAGATGGCTGAACCCCGACACCTCCATTTACCCCCATAGGACTGGCACCTGGGTAATAAGCAAGCACAGCATAAATCGAACAGCGCTTCAGGAATCTCCACGTTAAGCAATCTTTCCTATAATTAGAAACACCTTATGCTCAAAATATCATAGTAACATTGCCTTAAAAATATTTCACTAAAGCTCAATTTGTCCAGTTTTCACTGTTTCTCGTGAGGCCGATGCATTGTTCATTACCTTTTCTGTCTTTGGTCATCTAGCCCTTCTTTAAATATTCGGGCAGAGTTTTCTTACAGGCAATTTCTCAGTACACACAGCCATTCCTTCAAAGAAGGGGCATGATTGCTCACAGTCCAATAGTGTGCATTGGAAAAAGCTACAAATATTATCACTTTGGGAGAAAAAAAGACTGTGCCCTTAAACATCGTTTTGTTCTCAGGCGATAGAAGCAGTGGTGAAAAGTGTAGGACAGACTGCCAAGGGAAAGGTCTGTCATACTATACACAGTGTCGGGTGGACACTCAAGAGGAAGGGTCTTTCCAAAGCCAAAAAGTCAATAAAACAAACAAGGCAAGTGACCTATGGGTTTCGTTTGAATACAATGAGGCTCACATTGGACATGCAATACAAAAAAGCCTGTAGTCAACAGAAATCATTTACTTCAAGCTCGCAAGAAGCTATAAGGACAGAGTATAGAATAAGGTCTTCCTAGAGAACTGGAGGGAAAAAACAAATGAGTGAAAGTACCTCCAAGGTTTAAGAAGAACCTCTGGTAGTTAAGCCTTTGCGGATGACAATAAAAATCAGGTACTTCCTACAAACACTTTACAGCCATATAATAAAGTTCTTGGGCTACACAGGAATTATCACCATTTAAGGATGGATAAGGAAACTGAGGCTTTAATTCAGAACTGAGTGTCAAGGCAGGTGTGCCCCTGGTTCTTTATCTAGGGATAGCTCCACAGCCTAAAGCAGAATTCTCTGGCTTGCTGCTCTCTCTTCTGTGTTTGTGGAAGAGGGTGTGGGTGTGTGTGGGTGTGTTTGTGTCTGTGTCTGTCTGTCTGTCTGTCTGTCGTGCAGCACACCCTCCCATGGGTCCAGATCCTCTCTAGGTCCAGCTCTGCCAACCTGTTCACAGGATCATACTACGCATCTATGTATGCTAGTTGGATCCATACACAAAGATTAAACAACCCCTACTTGTAAAAAGCTTACATTATAATAGAGGAAGCAATAAACACATATGGAAATGTACAGCAGGAGGACAACTTCATGCAGGAAAATGTATCTGAAGGTAGTTTGGGAGGGGGAGCAGGAAGAAGACAACGCTATCAGGGAAGGAACGCCGGGCATTCCAGGTCTGGGGACAGCCTGGGCAAAGGCACAGGGACAAGACACAGGGAGGTCCCTCATCAACAGAAACATGACCCGCTTGGCTAGAAAAGAAGAGTCTGAGAGAGGAGCAACGTTTAATGAGCCCAGAAAGGCTGGCTGTACAGGGCTTTACAAACTAAAGACGGAAGAGCTAATCTTTTGTCCTAGAGGCAACAGGAGAGCATTGGAGCTGGCTGAGTAGGAGAGTTTCCTCCACAGAGCTTCACTTGAAACTTGAATGGCAGCACGTGGCTGTGTTAGAAGGCCTGGAGACTCAAGGACACCAGGAGAGCACCCGCCATCACATCACTAACCAGTGCTGAGGCAGCGTCAGAGGAAAAGGCGGCACATCTAGAGGAGAGCTACTGAGAGATGTGATGTGGATGCACCAGGTGGCAGTTATGAACGAAGGTAAAAGGGGTAAAAAGACAGGACAAATAAATGACTGGATGCTTGGAGTAAGGCAGAGTGAAGAGGACCAGCAGAGAGCATGAGGGAAGAGAATGAGTTCAGTTTTAGACAGGTGAAGAGGTCTCTGGGACATCCCATTTGAAAATGTCCCATTGGCAGCTGGTAACATGGGACTAAATCTAGGGTTGGGTATAGAAATGACCTGTGGGAGCTGATATATATATAGATGGAGAGGAAGGTAACAACCACAATGAAAGGACCTGATGGATAAGATGAAGCGAGCAAGGAGAGTGGGAGGAGCAGTCAGGCAGGTAAGAGGAGAACCAGGAGAGAGTAGGGTCACAAAAACTCAGCAAGGAGGCAAGGCTGGTTAACAGTGTCAAATGTAGCAGCCAGGGTTGCACAGTGATACCGTGTAAGGTGTACGCATGCCAACACGGAGCTGATGTGCAAGTAGATAAATCAAGGGAATCAATACTTCACCATGACTAATAAACTTGCCAATAACATGGCCGAGAACTGACCTGCGTGCTTAAGTCGTGAAGGACGTAATGAGAAATGAGAAGACAGCAACGGGGATGGGGAGGGAGCGTAATAACTGGATGCAATGGGCAATGGAGGATGGGTATTACGGACCAGCGATGTAAGAATGATCTGGAAATGACAGTGAGGTAAGCAACAGGTATTCCAACTTTCTTCCTTGGCTATTATGAAGAGAAGAATGGCAAAGAATAGTTTCCAGTGGAGAGGGTCCCATGAGATGATGACCTCATTTAAGACAATTTTAAAGTTAAGGGGCAGACAGTATGGTGGTTCCTTCAAGGGTGTTAGGAACAGAACAGGCATTCCCAAAGGCAAAGTGGGGTAAATCACAAGAATGGAGAACCAAGATGGTACAGCTCAGGGAAGAAGGGTGATATAGGTTCTTACGTTCAAATCCACTTTCTACTGCTTACAACCTGTAGGACCTTAAGCCAAGTCCAGTAAAAGGATGTCTTCAGTTTCTCTGTTAAATGAGAACTTCTGAGGCTCCTCCCAGCTGAAAATCAACCGAGCTGTGAAGAGTGAGGGGAGAGAGAGGGAAAGAATGCTTGGACAGCACTGGGGGTGGAGCCAAGATGGCGGAGAGAAAGCAGTGACTTGCTTGAGCTCTCCCCCCAAACCCCTCCAAATACCTATAAAAATGGCTCTAAACAAATTCTAAAGCAGAAGAACCCACAAAAAGACAGAGTGAAACAAATTTCCAGCCAAAGACAGCCTGGATGGTTGATTGGAAAGGTGTATCGCGCCGGGCAGCGAGAGGAGTGCAGTTCAGCGTGGGTGCGAAGGCCGCAGAGGACTGATTCACGGGCAGCTGTGGCAGTTTCCAGACTTCTTCACCCACGAACGCCAAAGACAACTTAGAAGGTCAGTGGGAAAAAGAGCTAGGTCTCAGCCGCCCGGAGAGCAGCGGCTGCCTTCTGAGCTTCCGGCCCACAGACTGAGGGGGAATCAAGTGGCTGATCAGAGGGGCATTGCAGGGATCTCTTTGCCAGGCCTGAGACAGGAATCTCTTGCTTTACCAGTGCTTGGATCTGGGTCACAGTTGTGAGGGGCGGTCCTGGGGCGAGGAGGAAAGCTGGTGTGGTGAAGCTTGTTGTGGCTGTGGAGAGGAAACACCTCGCCCCTTATCATAGCACCTTGGAAGAACTGAAAATTTTCAGGTCCCTAGAAGTATCTCTGAAAACAGCTGTACAAACCCTCGAAGCTTGGGACAGTACATTCTCCACATTGGAAGCAGACTTTTACCTTAACAAAGAGTTTAAAACTCAAGTAATTGGCTGGGATCATGAGCAAGCAGCGCAAAAAGTCAGACTATATTATCTTACTTTGGTGACAAAGAAGATCAAAACAAACAACCAGAAGAAGACAACAAAGTCAAAGCTCCTACATCCAAAGCCTCCAAGAAGAAGATGAATCAGTCCCAGGCCTTGGAACAGCTCAAAAGGGATTTTGAGAAGCAAGAGAAGTAGAGGAAAAACAGAGTTTTGCAAGAAAATCATGAAAAACAAGTCAACAGCTTGCTAAAGGAGACCCAAAAAAATACTGAAGAAAATAACACCTTAAAAAATAGCCTAACCCAAATGGCAAAAGAGGTCCAAAAAGCCAATGAAGAAAAGAATGCCCTAAAGAGCAAAACTGGATAAATGGGAAAGGAAGTCCAAAAGCTTACAGAAGAAAATATTTCCTTAAAAATTAGAATAGAGCAATTGGAAGCTAGTGACTTTATGAGAAATCAAGACACTGTAAAACAAATCCAAAAGAATGAAAAATTAGAAAACAATGTGAAATATCTCATTGGAAAAACAACTGATCTGGAAAATAGATCCAGGAGAGAGAATTTAAAAATTATTGGACTATCTGAAAGCCACGATCAAAAAAAGAGCCTAGACATCATTTTTCAAGAAATTATCCAGGAAAACTGCCCTGATATTTTAGAACCAGAGTGCAAAATAGAAATTGAAAGAATCCACCAATCACCTCCTGAAAGAGATCCCCAAAGGAAAACTCCTAGGAATATTGTAGCAAAACGCCAGAGTTCCCAGGTCAAGGAGAAAATATTACAAGCAGCCAGAAAGAAACAATTCAAGTATTGTAGAAACACAATCAGGATAACACAAGATTTAGCTGCTTCTACATTAAGGGACCACAGGGCATGGAATATAATATTCCGGAAGGCAAAGGAGATAGGATTACAACCAAGAATCACCTACCCAGCGAAACTGAGTATAATCCTGCAGGAGGAAAAATGGTCATTCAGTGAAATAGAGGACTTTCAAGCATTCTTGATGAAAAGACCAGAGCTGAATAGAAAACTTGATTTTCAAATACAAGACTCAAGTGGAACACGAAGAGGTAAACAGGAAAGAGAAAATCATAAGAGATTTATTATGGTTGAACTGTTTACATTCCTGCATGGAAAGATGATATTTGTAACTCACGAGACCTTTGTCAGTATTAGGGTAGTTGGAGGGGAAAAAGTTATATGTACGTATATACAGATATAGATAGATAGAAAGATAAGAGGACACAGGGTGAGTTGAAAATGAAGGGGTCATATCTGGAGAATAAAATTAAGGGGTGAGAGAGGTTTATACTAGGAGAAGGAGAAAGGGAGGGGTAGAATGGGGTAAATTATCTCACAAAAAAAACCCCAGAAAAGGCTCTTACAGGGGAGGGGAAATGGGGCAAGGTGAGAGGGAATGAGTGAATCTTATTCTCATAGAATTTGACTTAAGGAGGGAATAACATGCACACTCAATTGGATATGGAAATCTGTCTTAC